GCTGCAGGGAACAACGCATCAAACTCACTTGTTTGGTTTGAAGCCATTCACAACTTACCATATTCATGTTGTTGCTGTCAACAACGCTGGGCAAGTTTCAAGTCCATGGACTTCCGTGCGCACCCTGGAAGCCCCCCCAAGTGGCCTGTCCAACTTTACCGTGGAAAAAAAGGAGAACGGCAGGGCACTGTTACTTAAATGGGCAGAGCCTTCCAAGCCCAATGGCAACATTAAGGTAAGCCCAACCTAGAAAATGACTTAATCAGGGTGGAAAGGTATGAACATACGTTAGAACTTCATTGCTGAATACATGGTGAAAATTGTTGTCCGTTTTGTAGTTCTGAAGGGATGTGTGGTTTGTATGTAAGGTGCGAGTGATGTCTGGTCCTGCATCGATAGACAGCCACCAGCACCCATAGATGATGTCTTCCTTTGACCCTTTACAAGCCACCTCCCTGTTCTTAGTTAAATGATCTGGAGCAACTGACACTATCAAAGAAAACTCCCAGGACCCATGAGCCAAAGGAGAACTATGGGGCCATGACATTGGGTGATACTTTCCTAAGGGACCCCATTAGCCATAGAACTGGCCTTGAGTGGTGTTGTCCTAAATTACAGTGGTACCTCGGGTTAAGAACTTAATTCATTCTGGAGGTCTATTCTTAACCTGAAACTGTTCTTAACCTGAGGTACCACTTTTGTTAATGGGGCCTCCCGCCGCCGCCGCCGGCACCACACGCTTTCTGTTCTCATCCTGAAGCAAAGTTCTTAACCCAAGGTACTATTTCTGGGTTAGCGGAGTCTGTAACCTGAAGCGTCTGTAACCTGAGGTACCACTGTATTCAAATGAAAGTAAAGCTGGTTATATGGGAAGTACCCAAAGGAAACTCTCACCATGAAGACTCTTGGGCTCACGACAGGCAAGATATATGTGTGAAATGCTGAGGACCCCATTTCTGTCATAATTACTTTCTTCCTTTGTACTGTCTTTGCTAAATTTAATTCTCATGGTATTTTTCTTTTCTTTTCTACCTTTCTTTCCCCACCTTTGACTGTAGGATATATGTATGATTGTATGAAGATGTAGCTATCACAGGTTTTTAGTAATCGTTTTGCAAGTGGTGTCCTTTTGATGGATATTGGGCTACATTCTTAGAATTACAAAGAGCTCTATAGGTTTGTTATCATGAACAGTTGGATATCCTGCATTAAACAGAACTGCAGTAGATTGTCCATTAAACAGCATGACATGTTATAATTTCTCTACATTTGTTGTCTTACCCTATTTATTTAAGCATGCTTAAAAAACAACAGTATGATTAAAGCTGCCACTTATATATTAAACGAAAAGCCGCCCAAAGCAGCTTAATGTGACATTTAGTTGGACCTTCTGTTCTTTACCTTTGGGGACTTTTCTGCTTTCCTTTCGGTGCTTCTCAGAGTGCAGGGGTGGGGAATGAGAGGAGGCAATAGTTCATAGGTAGGCAAACTAAGGCCCAGGGGCCAGATCTGGCCCAATCACCTTCTAAATCCAACCCGCAGACGGTCCGGGAATCAGCATGTTTTTACATGAGTAGAATGTGTGCTTTTATTTAAAATGCATCTCTGGGTTATTTGTGGGGCATAGGAATTCTTTTTTTCCTCTTCAAAATATAGTCTGGTCCCCCACAAGGTCTGAGGGACAGTGGACTGGCCCCCTGCTGAAAAAGTTTGCTGACCCCTGCAATAGTTCTTCCTTCTAGGAACACAATCACTGGGCTTTTCTTTCTCTCAGAAACAACAATTGGGGAAGGAATGGTTGCTGCTCCTTCTGATTGCTCTGGTTGTTTGCTTGCTTAATATGCAGCTTGATCTTCAGTCTTCAGTTCCTTGTTTCTCAGGACCTTTCCCCATCTCCAAGTGAGGGTTTAATCCTGTTAATGCCAAACTGGCAATATTCCCTTTTGTCACATATATTCAAGTGCAAACTATGGATCCCTGAGTAACAGAAGTTTCCAAGTCTTTAGTCACATAAACGCAGCCAGTCATTGTCAGAGGCTTCACTGTGACAAGTCCAACGTAGACTGTATGCTAGCCTTCAGCCTCGCTGCCAGGCCGGGCAGGGCAACAGCCAATGCCCAACCAGCAAGCGAGGCACCACCTTCTAAACGGGGCCTCTGATTGGCCCATTCAAATTAGCCCTCTTTGGCAGGAAGACTGCCTATTGATACCACCAGCCAAGGGGAATTCCCCAGCCCCAGCCTGCAAGCAAGCATGACCTAGTTGCTGGGGTCATACGCAGAAGGGGCCTCAACTGTTGCTCCCCACAGACACAGTGAGCGGCCAGTGTAGGCCAGCCGCCTTCTGAGGCCCAGGACAGTACATATGAGTTTCCTCTCCCCCCTCCCCCCCGCTCCCCATCACAACAACACAGGCATTGATGTCCGCAGGTGGATTAAGATTATTCCCCTTCTGTCAGATGAACCATAATCCCAGATTTCATTTTTAAAAACCGGCTTTTCTAGAACCTAAGATAAGAGGCAAAGGGTGCAGACACCCTTTTGCCAGGGGGTATGTGTGTGTGTAACTAGTCTGCTCCCACATTTCACTGTTTTAGCCGAAATGCATACCCTGACAGAATGATCACCTTAATATGGCTTTTCCTTCCAACATCTCTTGCAGAAAATAATGTTGTTCTTTTGGAGGAGGGAAGGGTTGAAGGTAGATGTTCCAGGTTTTATGGGCGCACACCAAACATTTATTGTGGCTTGCAGAATATTTGACAGGCTGTTTATGGCGTCTATGATGGGAGTAATACATATCTGGCAGGCTGCATTTGGCTTATTGAGCTGGAAGCAGTGCAGGCCTGAGTTGCAGGATTCGGCTGTGAATGTCTTGCCAGTAACGTATAGCTTTTGTTGATATATGTTATTTTTCTTCCAGACCTACAATATTTTCAACGACGATAACCTGGAATACAGTGGTTTGTCTCGTCAGTTTCTCTTCAGGCGCCTGGAGCCTTTCACTCTCTACATCCTAGTCCTTGAAGCTTGCACTGCAGCTGGCTGCAGCCGCTCTTCATCCCAGCCAATCTGGACGGATGAAGCCCCTCCTGAATCTCAGCTGGCCCCTGTAATCCAGTCGGTGAACGCGACTGGCATTGGACTGAGCTGGTCTCCCCCAATTAATTCAAATGGAAAAATAATGCGCTATGAAGTTATTCAGAGACGCAGCAAAGGAAATGCTTCAGGGAACAATGCAACAACAGAAGAAGAGGAAAATGTTTTCACCGAATATAACACTGGGAGCACAACATTTGTATACAGTGCTCAACATTTGCAGCCATGGACTAAGTATGAATATAAGATACGTGCCTGGAATTCAGCGGGTTACGCTGACAGTTCATGGTCTGCTGCAGAGACCAGTCAAGCTGCCCCAGTGGGCTTGGCTGCCCCTGTCTTGAGATATATCCCCAAAAGTCCAAGCAAAATTTGGATCTTGTGGTCCTCCCCAGAAGAGCCCAATGGCATTTTGCAGTCTTATAGGCTCCACAGAAATAACGTTCCATATCCTTTTAGCTTTGATGCTGCTACTTTCAACTATACTGATGAAGAGTTACTGCCATATACAGAATACAACTATGCAGTAACTGCTTGTACTATGGGAGGCTGCTCCACCAGCAACCATGCCAGTATTCGGACACTCGAGGCAGCTCCAGCATTCGTGAACCCTCCCACCCTAGAAGATCTTGGTTCCACCCAAATGAACATATCGTGGTTACCACCCCAAATCCAAAATGGAGAAATCACAAAGTACATTTTGAAATTAAATGGTGAAGAGCTCTATGTTGGAAAAAGTTTATTCAGAAAAGTGTTGAATCTACAGCCTTATACCAAGTATGACATCATGCTAGTTGCTTGTACCAATGGAGGATGTACAGCTAGTGCACCCCAATCTGTTTGGACGATGGAGGCTGCACCACTTAATATAGATGCCCCCAGCTTGCTAGTGACAGGTTCAGAATCGATAGAAATCACGTGGAAGGCTCCTGCAAATCCAAATGGCAAAATCCAAAGTTATGAGCTAAGGAGAGACGGGTTTCTGGTTTATTTGGGGTTGGATACTCGTTATCATGACTTTATGCTAACTCCAGGAAAAGAATACAGCTATGCTGTTACTGCAAACAACAGCCAAGGAAGCGTCACCAGTGCTGTAGCCACAAGCAGAACTAATCCCTCTGCCCCGTCTGGAATGTCACCTCCTCGATTGCAGGCATGGTCCTCAGAGACAATTTTGGTTACTTGGGACCCACCAGCAAAAGTCAATGGGGATATAGTCAGCTATACAATCACGCTGCGGGACCCTATTGAATCGGAGAAGAAAGCTGTTCATCTGGAGTCAACACATGTTTCCTTTGGGAGACGGTACTACACTTTCGCAGCATTAAAACCCTATCACAGGTAACTTGTGAACACGTACTTCAGTGCGTGAATATTGTCTGTTATTCTGATCATAGTGTGACACATGAAAAAAGCAGAACAAAATGCTCTTATGCTAATGCAGCCCTAGATGACTGGCGAATTTTGGCTCCTTGTAACCAGTTTGTTCAACCAGTTAGGGGGGGAATTGGGAGGTTAGTATCCTCACGATACAGAAGACCAAACAGCATGTAAAAACAGATTTAGCAGGAAGGACCCCATATTTCTCCCTAACAGAGGCACTCGCTTCTTAGCATGATTGAGGGAGCCCTACACATCATGGTGTCATGCACGCAATGTCATGAGGAGCCAGGGGCGGAGGTGAACATTGAGGGGGCCCAAAAGTGCTTTGGCCCCTAGAAGCCACCGGCTATGCTCCCTAACAGAGCTATGCCTTCAGAATGTGATGCTAGGCTAGTGGAGTTTGCTAAAATATTCCTGCTAATACATTATGAACAGTGTCTCAAGGCATTAATCATAGAATCATATATTTGTAGAGTTGGAAGGGACTGCAAGAGTCATCTAGCAATGCAGGAATCTTTTTGCCCAACGTGGGGCTCAAACCCACAACCCTGAGATTAAGAGTCTCATGCTTTACCAACTGAGTTTATGAGATCTCTTCAGACTGGTCCTCAGTACTGAATGGAGGGTGGCTGTTGCAGCTTTGATCTGAATGTATAGTAGATTATCCATTGTAAAAACTGTCAACTCTCCATTCAGCAGAGCTTACTGAATCAATCAATTTTTCTTTTTCTTATAGCCAGCCCTTGTCAATGGGATCTTTAATATGCCACTAGCTGCTCAATTAGAAGAGGACCTTTTATCAATAGCTTCAGAAAACTCTCCTACTTTTTTTCCTGTTCAACTCTAAGCATGTGTATAGGCCTAAGCACACAGTGTGCATCACATTCCTTTGAAGCATAGCAATCTCGGAATTGCAGGACAAGAGTGCTCATTTCTTTTCCTCCCAGAACGGGTTGTCCCATTATTTTCAGTGGAAACTTATAGGAAGTGGCTGGATGCACATGCAAGGTTTTCAACCAATTATTTTAACATGTTTTCACTTGCTAGCTAAGTGGGGAAGTAATGCATACATTTGTGCAGAAGAAGTCTCATTGATCTCCATCATTATTTTATAAATAAGAGCATGGGCAGAGAAAGATAAAAGTTCTGTCTGAGTCACGGATAGTCATGGGAACAAACCATAGTCCATGGCCCAACTTTTCTCAGCTGGCTGGCAGTCCAAAACCTCTGGAGGCTACCAGGCTGTGGTAGGCTAACAATTAATTTTGTAAATTTAATGCAGGCAGGCTGGAATGCGAGTTTAGATCACAAAGCCTGACCCTTTTTCTTTAGCGAAGCTTATGATACAAATGTTGCAGCATGATTATATTTTTTAAGAAATGTGGCAAGACTTGTTTGTTTCAGCTAGCTTTGAGTGGCCTGAGTTAAGCTTTCTGTTTCATCATATATTTTGAAATTATAAGCCACCTAATTGGTTGACTGAACAAGGAACCTACAGTTTGTCTTACAGTAGATGTAAGGAACTTATAACATTTAAATGCAACTTCTTTCCAGTTCAGGCAAAGCAATAGCTATTATCTCACCAAATATATTCAAAGTACTGTGTTCCTAATACAGTGGTACCTTGGGTTAAGTACTTAATTTGTTCCAGAGGTCCGTACTTAACCTGAAACTGTTTTTAACCTGAAGCACCACTTTAGCTAATGGGGCCTCCTGCTGCCGCCGCGCCGCCGGAACACGATTTCTGTTCTCATCCTGAAGCAAAGTTCTTAACCCGAGGTACTATTTCTGGGTTAGTGGAGTCTGTAACTTGAAGCGTATGTAACCTGAAGCGTATGTAACCTAAGGTACCGCTGTATATAAATCATGCTGATTTGTTGCAGACACGGGGATCGCAGTGCACACACATGTAGGAATGTCTCCATTCATTTCAGCAAAGGAGATAAAGGGGTGTGCGTGTTTGCAACTCTTGCTTTGCACTGAACTAAATGGGAGGAGGGGAGTGCTTATGCAAGAGATCGACACATGCATTGAAGGTTCTGGACCTAACCATTATGCTTGCTACCCAGCCGGATGGGTGGGGTATATTACTACTACTGCTACTTGCACCACAGTGCAAAAAGTGGAGGGAAAATAAACATCCCACCCAGTGGAACACCCTCCCATCAGATGTCAAACAGTTAAATAGCTACAGTCATACCTTGGATCCCAAACGCCTTGTGAGTCGAACATTTTGGCTCCCAAACTCCACAAACCCGGAAGTGAGTGTTCTGGTTGCCAATGTTCTTTGGAACCCAAACGTCCAACATGGCTTCTGCGGCTTCCGATTGAGTGCAGGAAGCTCCTGCAGCCAATTATAAGCCATGCCTTGGTTGTCGAACGTTTTCAGAAGTCGAACGGACTTCCAAGGTACGACTGTATATGACCTTTAGAAGACACCTGAAGGCAGCCCTGTACAGGGAAGTTTTAAATGGTTGATGTTTTATTATGTTCTTATTATTTTGTTGGGAGCCACCAAGAGTATTATTATTTACATTTATTTTAAAACACAACACTACTTTGCACACCTCTCTTTTGGAACATCTTTACTGTAATCTACACGTATGTGCAATAGATACGTTTATAGCCCTTCTTCTACTTAACTTCCTTCTGATGTGTTTTTCTAAAGGTATGAAGTCCAAGTGCAAGCTTGCACACTATTGGGCTGCACTTCCAGTGAATGGGCTTCTCTACAGACCCCTGAAGCAGCTCCTGAAATCCAGCCAGCTCCACTCATAGATGTGCAGTCAAGTCATGGTGGAATCCAGTCTGTTCTTTCCATTGTGTGGACAGGTCCAAAGCAACCAAATGGGAAGATCTTATATTACGAGCTTTACAGAAGACAAGTAACACTTGAGCAACTAAATCTAGACCTGGTCCTTGTTTATAATGGTTCATCCACATCCTTCAAAGATGCCACACTTCTGCCTTTTACCGAATATGAATATCAGGTATGTCACATACAGAATGAAGACCTAATCCTATGATTCCTATGAACATCTTAGGAAAGAAGTTTTATTGCTAAATTGTTAATATACTGTAAAATACTATATACTCAGAAAAAGTGTTACGATAATTCCATATAGTTCACATGGACAAAAAGGCCTTCGAGAATTAAATACAGTCAATGTCCCTCCCTGTTTTTTGGCACAGTGATTCCCATTTTTACACATACGTCAGAAACTGACATATTTTCAGAGGCATGGTGCGAAATGTTTGTGAATGCTCTCAGCACTTTTGTTTGTTTGCATATTTATACTCCATGCTTTCATAAAAATCTATCCAGGTAGTGTACAGCATATAAAAATAAAAGCAGCAAGAAGCATCCATAAAAAGATACCATTCATATTGCAAAGGCCTGTCAAAACAATACAGTTTCAAAAGACGTGTGAGAGAAGGAAGGGAAGCATCCTGCTTGAACCACTGTTGGGAGTTCAACAGGCAGAGTCTGCCACACTGAAGACTTGGCCCCTAGTGAAGGCTAACTGAATCTCAGGGGTGTGAGGCACCACCAGAAGTGCCCCACCAGAGGATCAAAGTGGAGCATGGGGAATCAGGTGGTTCTTAAGATACTTTGAGCCCGCTTTGCTTAGGACTTTGCGAATTAACAGAAGTATGTTGAACCTGGCATAGTCATCTGGTTGGCTGCTGCATTCTACACTAGTTGAAGCTTCCAGACCAGATACAAGGGCTGCCCCACATAAAGCATGTTACAGTAATCATTCAGTTGCAGCTCCTTCCCACACAGGGAAGTACTGTTTACTCTGAGTGGCTGCTGCTCTCTCAGTCTGCAGTCTTCCCAATGCTACCTGGAGGTGCTGGGGATTGAACCTGGGACTTTGTGTATGCAGAGCAAATGTCCTGCCCCTGAACTGCAGCCTGCAATAGAGGATGTTGCCCTGTTGGTGAGGTTTAAGCTGCCAGTCTGATCAGGACTGGAAGGGTGTGTGAGTGTGGTGTAAACTGAGAATTCCGTTTTTGATGTGTATGGCCTGGCTTAGCTCCATATAGAGGTATTTCTAGATGGAGATACCTTTTGTATTGTATGTGCATAATAGTAAATCCAGAGGCCTCTTAGCCGTGTCATGAACTTTAAAGGAAAGGTTATAATAACTCTCTCGCTTCAGTCATTATTCCCATATGTCTTCTTTTCTGAAGAGAACATAAAGCCTAATGAACTTTGGATGTCTTCTCTGTTTGCCACTGAATGTTCTTGGGTGATCAGACTGAATCTGTATTGCTGCTGTTGAGAAGTGTGTGACCTCCATTTGGCAAGTGTATGCCAAAATGTCTGGCATCTTGGGGGAGCCCATCTTTCATCGCTGACGATGGCTCTTGGGTTACTTGATTTCCTACTCTTTCTAATGATGTAATTTTCCTTAAACTTCAATGAACTTAATGGCAATGAGGTAACTGCTAGGATTCTTTCCAAAATAGATCGCTTTATTTTAGAGACTGGTATCTTTCTTATCCCCCCTCTTCCCCTACCCCCATCCCTCTCTTCCCAGTTAATGTACCTGAGGGGATACTTTTTTCTTGTAATTGGGCTCTTTGTGGACAAAATTATTAAATCTTTTCAAAAAACTATCCGGTACATTATGGTTGAGGTAAGCGCCTTTAAATCAGGTGCTCAATGTGTTTTGGAAGCAGTGTGAGCTTCTTAAATGAGTAGATGTCTCGTGTCTGAGACTAAGGGCAAGAGAAGAGGCACTGCAAATTCATTTTTTCTCTATTTTCTAAAACGTATTAGAGCTACCATGTGCCTTCTACAGCACTGGTCTTCAACTAGTGGGTGGAGACCCACTGGTGGGTCACAGCCTGATCCAAGGTGGGTCACAAAAGGAGCTCTACCGTCATGCAAAGATATGCCAAAAAGTTAAGAGATTGGTCCTCAAATGCATGTTTGGGTTTAAAGTGAGTACTGGGTCTTAAAAGGTTGGCGATACCTGTTCTACAGGATAGGATTATCACAAAATCCAAACAAGCGAAGAATCCTGTGGCACCTTAACATCCAGCAGATTTAATATGACATCACCTTTCATGAAGACAAGTTAAGTTAAACATGATCTTATTGGCTATTTAAAACAATGAACTGAAGTCTGTCGATGGCCATTATTTCATTATTCTGGAGTACATTTTTTCATGTGTGGAATGCATATAATCTATTCACAACAGGGTTTCTATGGGTCTAAATATAATCCTGTTTCCTTCTTTCCACTACATGGTGCATACAGGCAAAAGCATTACAGGGAATGTTTCCTCTACCCCACTATTTTAATTATGCAAAATGATGCATGGTATGCCGTGCTGGTCCCACTCCGAGTAGACACTGAAGTTAATGGACAAGACTAATTTATGGACTGCAAGAAGATCAAACCTATCCATTCTTAAGGAAATCAGCCCTGAATGCTCACTGGAAGGACAGATCGTGAAGCTGAGGCTCCAATACTTTGGCCACCTCATGAGAAGAGAAGACTCCCTGGAAAAGACCCTGATGTTGGGAAAGATTGAGGGCACAAGGAGAAGGGGATGACAGAGGATGAGATGGTTGGACAGTGTTCTC